TGATAAAAGTTGATGAAATGTGAGACCCCAAAAAATTTCTTAACAAGTTCAATAGTCAACCAACACAGAATTTAGTCATTGTTTGACTCCTTTTAAAACAAAATAATTTATTTCACATGTTCAATTTCAACCACACATTCACATGATAAAATATTTCGCACGTAAATTCAATTTTTTCTACTTTTTAATCACATTTTTTAAAAAAAAAATTACAATTAAAAAAATTATTTTTACACAATAACTAACATAAAATATGTGCTTAGTCACACCTATTTTCCCAACGTATTAGGTACGTAAAAGACAACAAAAACATTCCCAAATAGAATAGCCGCAAAGAACGACCATAAAAAGGAAGCAATATTCAGAATCTTCAACTGGCATTTAAACTTCAAACTCTAGTTTTTCAGATTTGGAAATTGGGATGATGATTTTGTTGTTAAACATTTTGGAAACAATTTTAAAATGATTTTCTATCAATTTGTATATGTGACTTTTTAATCCAATTTTGGGGTACCATTTATGATGTTGATGTTGATACGTAGTCAACTTTATTTTTCTATCATTCGTTATCCAATGTTTATTAGAATTAAATTTATTTTTCTATTGTTGATCTTTTCATTAAGCTATTACTTGTTAATTGGGAGAGGTGGATGAGATTATGTTAGTCGAGATATGATTATCAGTTCAAAAATGTTAAATGTTCATACACTATTCGATCTGGACTCTTAAAAAACTATCTACACGTATCTCACCAATATATTTATCAGTTGTATTATAATACTATGAGTTGTTCAGCATGTATATGATGATGGTTCACAGAATCTCAATCGACAACTCACATAAGGAGTTTGTAGTTTTTTTATTGAGGTGGGACCCACATCTATGTGAGCTGTCAGTATGAATTTTGTACATGCAGTACTCTAATACTAGAGATGTGCTACAAGTACAGGGGCCTTTTCACAGACCCTGCCAGACACTTCACATTGAGGGGGGAGCCTCAATTTTTTTTAAGTCATTGGGATGTGGCTGACTACAGTGAGAGGCTAGTAAGGCCCTTGTGAAAACACACCATGTACTTGGGGAATAATCCCTAATACTATAGAACCACGTCCTTAAAATGTGAGTTTCCTTTTCAGAAACTATTGGACGTGACAATTAATTTTGTATTTTATTATGATTTTTTAACATTTTATATAATTTTATCTTGCGGATCAAGACAACGTTAGACCCAATTTGTATTCGTTTAAGTTTAGCACATGTCTGGGAGCAAAATTTCAACCCAAAAAATTGATTTTTGAACCGTTAAAGAGGAAGAGTAGCAGCCATTGTTGACTAACTGTGTCACAGGTGGGGCTCAGACTTTGAAAAAAAACAACCATATTTCTGATGAAAATCCGATGGAAAGCCCCTCCAGACATAGCCTTAATAGTTTTTGAAATTACGCCGCTTTTTTATTTTGCTAAAAATTAATTTTTTTTAGTAAATTTTAATAAAATTTATAAAATATGGTTAAAAATTAATAAAAATTATGAGACTTCGTAACTTTGATGTTGTGTAATGTATAAAATATTTTTTTGATTAATTAAATTGTAGATATGTAAATTATTTAGTTATTTTTCAAAGGTTCCATGTATTAATAATACTGCAGATTAGATTTTTTTCAAAAAAGTTTTTTGTTAAAAAGTTTACTTGAAATATTTTGCCCTTACTTGAGCTTCATTTTTGTAAGATAATCTACTTTAGAATAATGATTTTTGGAGAGCGCGTGATTAAAAAAAGAAATTTTTCGATTTACGTGTAAAATTATTTTATGGAAGAATGTGCGACGGAGAACGACTTTTGAAAAAGTGGGAGCCAAACATAGGCCATATAAATATTTTTATATTTTGATTATTTATCTATCTAATTAAGATAACTTATTTTTTTATTCTTTTAAAAATATTTTTTAAAATTGATCATCCCACTGTAAATAAATTCTATTTTAAATAAAAGTTTTTTAAAATGAACATTTGTAGAAGAATTTCATTAATTTCGTGCAAATCCATAAAAATCCACCAAAGTCAAAAGTCGTATAACAGAATTGAATGTTCATTTTCTGCCACTACGCAAGATAGATTTTCTCTCCTTTGCAAGCTTCTCTTTCTTTACCCAGTTTTTCCAGAAGGTTTAACTGTTCAAAGTTTAGCACCATTCGAGTTTTCAGGTACTCCATGCACACAGATTTGTAAATATATACACAACAAAGCACTTTTTACTTAATTCAGAAGGTTTACTGATGCAGTGATTTTTTTTTACTCTTCTAGAGTTCTTGATTTGATTCGATACTCTTTTTTTACATTCTATATACGATATGTCCGTGTTACTCGATTTAAATCTTTAAATTCAAATTATACATTTGATGCAGGACAATCCTATTATAAATAGGGTAAATTTTAGTTATTCATAATTGGATTGTCCTGCATCAACATTATTGTAAAAATGGTGCATTGTTTACCACGTCTGAGTAAATTGACAAATTCTCTCTCCAGATATGAAGATATGTAATAATCATTAATTATTTCTATTTTCTATGAGTTTGTAGACTGAACTGTTTACGAGGATTTTACTGAATATAGAAATGTGGAAGCTGAAAATAGCGGAGGGAGGGAACCCATGGTTGCGCAGTGTGAACGGTCATGTTGGTAGGCAAATCTGGGAGTATGATTCGAGCGCTGGGTCTCCAGAAGAGCTGGAGGAGATCGAGAAGTTTCGTGAGCAATTTCGTAGCCAGAGATTTGAGAAAAAGCACTCCTCTGATCTTCTCATGAGATTTCAAGTTCAGTGAGGCCTTATTTAGCTATATTTTTTTAATGTCAACCATCAAAAATCTTACTAAAGTTGGTGCAGTTTATCATGTATACAAGTGTGTTTAATCATTTTCAAAATCCATATTCTTTTCTTAACATAATTCAAGGTTAGTTAACAGGTATTAAATTTCATGCCCCAATACTCCCAAAGTAGGTTATTAGGATTAAGAAACAAACCAAATGAACCTGGTGATAGAGAATTGTTTTACTGCTCAAAATCACAATGCTAAAGCTTATATTATCATATTTAGTGCATGTTATTGTAATTAGTTCTATTAGTACCTGCTTGTGCATATTCATTTACTCAAATGAGTGGAAGTTTGATGAATCTTCGTATAAGGGGCTCGCAGCGTGCCAAATTTACACAAGATTATAAAAAGGAGGAATGAGGAAATGGTGGTGGTGTCAGTATAGAGGATCATATTATCTTATAGAGTGATTATTTTGAATATTTAAGTTTGATTATTCAGAAGGGAGTGGACATTAATGTGACGTGGTGCATATGGTTAGAGCAAGATGAATGAAGCGGAGAAGTGCTATGGGGATCCCATGTAATCAAAAGATATAAAGTTAGAATGCAAGTTCTATAGAATTCGTTGTTCGACCAGTTATGCTTTATGGTATATTCAGTCAATGCAGTATATTCAGGACTCACGTGGTGAGTGGCTGCAGAGTCAATATACAAGGCATTGTAGGTGTTTAGGAGGCTGGGGTGCTATCCTAGCAGCCATGGTGGTCAGAATTTGTAGTTGAGTAATGATTCTGTGTATAGTTCTGAAATTGGGTAACGTGTGTGGTGATGACTGGTAATTCATGTTGGCTATTTGGTGGCATATTAGTGAGTGTGGCCACAAGTCTGACACTTGAGGTTTTTAAACTGTTGTTTAGGAAGTTTTGTTTTGGTGGCCATTTTTGTTTTGAGTACGAGCCCTGTGGTTTTCCCAAGATAATGGACTGGGAATTGGGAAAATTTCTACTGACAGGAAAGCATTGAAATCCACTTTGATAGTTTTGTTGTCCTTGCTTGAATTGAAAAGGAGATTTCGAAAACTTTTTGTTACCTTGTAGTTAGTGAGATTGGCTTGAGCAAATTGTATTTTTCTGGGCCGAGTTCTTTCTTTCCAATCGGCATTCATAACTAAATAGTAAACTGTTTATATCCTCAATTGAAGGTCTCTCTGTTCTGTTACGTATCGAAGTGACAAATGGATTATATTCAGCTCCTATTCATCAAGCAAATAGGCTAGATGTACTTTATATGATATTGTCTCACACATGGTAGCAAATTTATCGATTACCTCCTTGATTTGAGCTATATGATTAGAAAAGGGACACATCCTTTTTGATTTCTGAGAGCTGTGACCTCAAGCCAAGATCACGTACAGTGGTGTTAGATACTTATACCTTCTTTAGGGCCTCTCAGATTTGTTGAGTTGTGGTATGTCCTACGATCTTGATCATCATGGCTTCTGTAAGTGAAGCATATTTCCAGGTCATGACAAGCCTGTGGAATCTCTGTCGTTGTGTGTAATGAGGATTTCCTATTTGCTGCTGCAAATCCAGAAATTTGGGATGACACCGCGGTGAACCATCAAGAAATTCTTCAAGGCCATTAGCCATCACAACATTTAGTAGCCGAGTCTTCCACAATGGGTTCTTTGTTTGGTCTAATTTTATTGTATGGGGTTGAGAAGGTGAAGGGAAAGGCTGGGGAAGAAACTGAAGGAAAGGATCTGTGAGGTTATGCATGTACACAGGTGTTTGAGGAAACTGAAAAGCATTGTCAAGAAGGGTAGGAGCTCTATTATGAGTTGTATGTGGATGAACCATGGTGGGTTGATTTTCAAGAGGTTAGTTGTTATTGATTGATGTAAAGCTGGTAGTATCGGGCTACTAGCTCCTGACTTTTGTGGATTTACATCCATGTAGCTCAGATACCAAAGCAGAATTGATTTATTGATTTTAATTTAGATAATTTGGAGAAGATGCTGAGCTAATTGCTAAGATGAGGCACCTTATAGTTATATTTATACTGCAAACTGTAGAAAATATATCCGGATGGACATGCTGTACACATGTATACAAACAATAACAAACAAGTGATTAAGCTAACTATCTAGTAACAGAAAGATAATGAACAGAAAATGGCATCTTCTAGCACAGGGGGGATATTATGGTATAGGCATCTTCTAGAATTAATAGCCATGTTGCAGTGATTGAGTTTTTTTGGTCTGTGTGTGGCTGCATTGCTGTTCTGGTTTAGTCTTTAACATGCTCAAGTCTAAATTTACTGGAATAAGACGTAGTTTGTTATTATTGTTGGGATTTCTTTTGATCTCTTTGCTTCCTTGAGTCAGCTTTTTTTATTAATAATGGGGTTTGGCAGTAGAGATGGATGGATTCTGTGGAGACATGCTATGATGGCCATCGTTGAGCTATTTGAATATAGAGGAACTCTAGAAATTTCCAGGATGTTTTTCTCTCTCTGCACGGTTTGTGGTTAGGCTAGTCTTGCTTTCTTGTTTAATGGCAAAGGCAGCAGGTTCTTTCATGGTCAGACCTCAGTAAGTGCTTAATCGGCTGGAAGGAAATATTCTTGTTTGGTTTTGTACTTCAGATCTAGTTCTTTACATGTTTTTGAGGAGTCCATTCTGTACCTTTTAACATTTTCCCAGTCATTTTTCATCAAAAATACAAAATGATGTTTGTCTTGCAAAGTTCAACATATATTGTTTCTGCGACATGTGGTTAAATGGAATATTATTACACCTTTATGCTGAAAATGGTGTATTGCACAGTCATTGCTTATGTTTTTCTTATGAAAAGAGTGCCTATTCAGTTGTTTGTTAAGGTAATTGCCATTTCCTCTTCAATTTTTTGGAATGTAGTTTTCAAAGGAGAACCAAAGCTTCTCACTGTTGCCCCAAGTTAAGGTAAGAGAGACAGAAGATATTACAGAAGATAAAGTAGTCGATACATTGAGGAGAGCAATCAATTTCCACTCAACAATACAGGCTCATGATGGTCACTGGCCAGGAGATTATGGTGGTCCCTTGTTTCTAATGCCTGGCTTGGTAAGTGTTGATCTTTCCCTCTCATCGTTTCTTAATCTTTAAGCGGATATCTCTACTAGTTGGATGCCCCCAAGGAAGGTTTTCCTAGTGATATTGCATTGTTTTATGTCATTTGTTTCTGTAATTGTCGTGAAACGATTCTTATACAACAGCATGTAGCTTGTATCATTCGTTTTTATGAATTTTCTTGTTCTTTCCAACTTGATGGAACAGGTCATTACCTTGTATGTTACTGGGGCATTAAATGCTACTTTGTCAACAGAACACAAACGTGAGATGTGCCGGTATCTTTATAATCATCAGGTAAGGATAGTGTATTTTTAGCAGGCGAATTTACAGTGCATTTTTCATGGTGTCTGTACATGTTATCTGAATTTTCAACGTTTATATCTGTTATGATTTAAATCTTCTTATTTTCTGTTGTTGGGTAGCAGCATGAGTAAATTTCTAATTAAACCCTGTAAACTGCAGAACAGAGATGGTGGGTGGGGTTTACACATAGAGGGCCCAAGCACCATGTTCGGTTCTGTGTTGAATTATGTTACTCTGAGGTTGCTTGGGGAAGAAGTGAATTATGGAGATGGTGCAATGGATAAAGGACAAAAGTGGATTCTGGATCATGGCGGTGCCACTGCAATTACTTCCTGGGGAAAAATGTGGCTCTCAGTTAATAACTGATCCTTCACCTTGCTTATTATACGATTTCCATTTTTCACCACATATATTTCCCATTTGTTAATACCCTGTCTCTGTTGAGATATTAGGTACTTGGAGTATTCGAATGGTCTGGAAACAATCCTCTGCCACCTGAGATATGGCTTCTCCCTTATATCATTCCAATCCATCCAGGTCACTGAACGTCTATGCTTGTCTTCTGCTCATCGTTTTCCTTAATAGTTCTGATGGGGGAGTGAAGATTAGAATAAATATAGGGTTTAGATAGGATTATAAACTAGAGATAATTTAAAGTTATCTTTGCTTAGATTGGACTAGATTAGTTTTAAATTTTCAATAATGTTTTAGTTTATTACAAGTTCATTTGCTTTTAACTTCATTATAAATAGGAGTAGGATTCCTATTGTATTGGACTCATTATTATTGAATATTTTCCCCCCTATATTCTTCTCTATTTCTTCCCCTTTCTTTTCCTTCTCTCTTTCTGTTTCTCTGCCTCTCTACTCTTTTATTCTATTTTCTTCCTCTTTTATGTTGTCACTGGTGCTCGGGACGGGCAATTAAGTATCAAATGAGTTCTAAATGTTGTTTCCTCTAATAAAAGATAAGTTTCTTTTGATATTGCAGGAAGGATGTGGTGTCACTGTCGAATGGTTTATCTGCCCATGTCGTACCTATATGGGAAGAGGTTTGTTGGTCCAATTACACCAATAGTTCTGTCGTTGAGAAAGGAGCTATACACAATCCCATATCATGAAATAGACTGGAATTTAGCACGGAACCAATGTGCAAAGGTTGGGAAGATCTATTTATTAGTTCCTAACATAACTAAGGATTTCAAATGTGTTCATGTTGTCAATTTGCATTTAACTCCTCACCCCCAACACCACCCAAAAAGGAAAAAAGATTGTAAAAGTCTCGTACTGATATTGATCGATTTTATGATGTACACAGTTCATTCAAATTGCAAATGTGTTGTCTTTCATCCACTGTAAGTTGTAATTTCATTATTCGTTAGCATGCTCTTAGGACACTCTATTCGAACCTTAAAAAGAAAAATTCTGAAAGATTGTGCCCCATCACCTCAAGCAGTGGCATCCCACTTCAAGAATAGAATGTGCCTACACCTTCTGTTACTGAACAAATTAGACTACTATTAATAATATTCATCTTTCAGCTATTCTCTGCAAAGGCAATGATTTGTGAAGTAGAATATGCCAACTGTTTCCACTCTAATGGTATTGTTCCTTGTTTACTCTGATGTTCTTTCATTTTGTGATGTCACCGCAGGAAGATCTATACTATCCACACCCTTTTATACAGGATATTCTGTGGGCATCTCTTGATAAGCTTTTGGAACCTATTTTCATGCATTGGCCCGGGAAAAAGTTAAGAGAGAAAGCTCTTCGTACCGTAATAGAGCACATACATTATGAAGATGAAAATACCCGCTATCTATGCATAGGCCCCGTAAACAAGGTCTGCTTACAGAATTTTTTCCAACTTATTATTGTACGGATGTTGAAGTTTCTGTTTACTTGGTGAAAAAGTGGGAATATTGTTGATGCTAGACTGAATTTGATGAAAAAGGTTTTGAATAACATCCTTCCTTATTAGGCCCCTGTTTGGTCCACATTAAAATTTTCATTNTTCTCATTTTTCTACTCATTTTCAATCATACATTTTTCAATAAAATAATATTTTCCATCTCATCAATAACATTTCCTTCTTTTTCACCCACACATTTTCCATCAATCTACTATTCCAAAATAATGTGGCTCAAACACACCCTAGGATGTTTCAAAATAATGCAATTCAACAAAAAATAAATTGCTATTTACACTCGATGGACCTACACTTATTTCTTTCACGCTTTCACAAATTCTACCTCTCTCTCTCCCTAATTCTAATTGGGACACCTAAGGACAAGAGGAAAAATATTAAGTACCATCTTTGAAATCTAATCCATTCAAAATATGACACTGCAATAGCATAAGATTGAGTATATTTTTTGTTTCAACGACTTGATTGATTTATGCTATATTTTACATGATTATTTTTCATTTATAGTTTTCTGTTTCAACTTTTTTCAAATATATGTTTAAAAGTATCTATACCATTTCTTTCATTGTCTTTTTCCCATGGTTTCAATGTAAAATGAAAGCTGAAGGTTGCAATTGGTAATATATTTCTTCTTTTTATTTCCTGTCCCCAAAAAAATGAACTGATCAGGTGTTAAATATGATTTGCTGTTGGGTGGAAGATCCAAATTCTGAAGCTTTTAAATTGCATCTCCCAAGAGTCAATGATTACCTGTGGCTCGCTGAAGATGGCATGAAAATGCAGGTCAGAATTCTAAAACTTTAGGAATATTTATTGCCTGCTTGAGCCACATTTGTTGTGTAGAATGCATTTTGGAATAATAGATTGATGGAGAATGTGGGGTT